TTTACGTTAAGTATCAGGGTTACTCCAACCTCTCATTTCAGTGAAGTATCACTTATGGGCGCTTTGAAAAATGTTGGCTTCTGGTGCCGCGTAAAAATGCATTTAACGGCAGATGATGCTGACAGTGGAACACGACGAAACTATGTTAACCAAAAAAAAACCTAAGCCTCATGATAGAAATCCCCACCCAGACTGATCATGAGGCGGCCACTGCCGAAATTTGTTGAACGACGTTCTCAATTCAGTAAATAAGTCTTGTCAGTTCAAGAGATACAGCTCAATTTCTCAGTATTTCTACTGTAGCTAACGTAAGCAATTCAGTTGTTTCAGTCACAATACATCATTTGATTTCTTCGTCGATCATCAATTAACTATAGAAATTCACTGAAGTGCTGTCTTAAAACAATTCATGAGCTCCACTTTGAGCATCTTTGTGAAGCTTCTGTCTTAGTCACATTAAGGGGGTCATGAATACGCAGATGTTAACGCAGGCATGAGCTAAAACCAGCCCGAACATCTGAGTCGTTGACACTTTTGCAGGAAAACGGTTGCACAATCATTCATACTAAATTCTATAAATAAATAACAGAATCATTACAGTAGCAGGACACCAATCATGCCGTTGGATGAACACTCGAGGCAACATTCAGCAACGCTGCTTCACATGATTTACTGGCTGTATGCAAAGAATTGCGTTAAGGAACGAACACAAACAATACCATTCGATGGTAGTGGAGAGGCATTCGGTCCTAATGAATTTTATACGTAGTTGTAAATAGTTTTCAAGGGAGAAGAGGATGCGGAGTGCCCATCCGTAAGCTGTTCTCCTACAGTTTTGACTCAGATATTTCCGTTGCTCCTATCCTTCCTCCCCACTTCATGACGGAATCTCTCCTGTAGCTAAAAGATCGCTCGCCGACGAATACTGGTTGTATTTACTCGTATAATGTGTGTTAACATTACTGCGTTAGCCTTGTGAAAGGAAGGACGATAGTGAAGGAAGGAAGTAATGTTTGTAATATTACTGATAACAAAGAGGCAGAAGCTCTTATCAACTTCTTGTAATCGCTAAAAAATGAATGAATAAATAAGATGACAAATATGCACTTCACAAAAATATCATATTCAATCAATCGATGAACGAAGTGAACAAATTTGCGAATGAATACGTTTGGATAAAAATCGAAATGAAACGTTTATAAATCATTCTTTTTATACGTCGCTGCGCCGAAAGGCGCCATCATAACGGATTTCACGAAACGATTGTTGCGCTTTGGTGAGAATTGGGAAATGAGAAAACCAACGTTGACGTCGGTTAATGAACGAAATTTTCAGTTGAAAGTTGAGCCGAATAAAAAGGTGAATGAATCTCGAATGATTAGCGCAAAATTTATTTTCAAAATTCCGATCTATTCATGAATTTTCAGGGTACACATCTTCTATAATAAATTCGAATTTCGTTTGTTGATTCATTAGAGCTGTCCTTGCACTATCTTCATTATCAGTCGTCAGTGGAATCGTATATTGCTGAGTGATGTCGTGTGGAATGACATTTAGCGGCATAAATTTGCGAATTATTCAACAGAGTTTTGGTGTTAGAAATTGTTTGTTGAGTTGGTGTTTTGTGGTGACGTATTGGGCGAGATAACGACCGGATTGAAAATAAGGAATCACAGCGAATCGCGACAAGCATTCAAAGTGAAGTGCACCCGAAATGATCTATTCACGATACGACCAACCATCGGTATACTCGACTATCGTGAAACAGTTTACATTAAAATTACATACAGGTATATACAGCTCTATTATCTCTCTACTTTACTTTGTTTGCACCTTCTGCGAGAGTTTGCTTTTCGAATTCGATAAACTTCACCCATAATAATATATCATATGTCCGAAAGCGATAGGCTGGCTTCCCCACTGAGTGGCCATAAGTGGACCTGAGCTAAAGTCATCAGACAGGATGTGCCTTTTGTTCAAATATCACGGATGCAAGCTCACATTTAAGATTGTTTTGATACAGCTGGCTGCAGTTCTTTATTTGGCTTCATTTAATTGGTTTTAATTGTTGTGTGCAACGAACATAGTATCGCTGCGTTTCGTTCACTAAAAAATCGAACCAAAGTTATAGCTCGTAAAGACGGAGGGAGACGGGGTGGAGAGTTAAAGCAGTATGCACTGCTCACTGCTAAAAGCTGGACTCCCTTCGATGTCTGCCTCAAGTGTGCAGTTTACATGACAAATTTGTCTGCAGACAGATTGAACTGAGTAAAAATAGTGATAATGATGGAAAAAGTTGAACCTTTTATCATTAACATTCATCATTTTGTCGTCTTCAAATGTATAATATGAATAGCAACAATGATAATGGTATCAATATTGGACCGACAATGGCAATGCCAACAGTGTTGATGGAATATGAATATATTAACAATAACAATAATAAAAATAAATAACAATGATACAAATAGTAATGCTGAATGACAATAACCGATGATAAGAATGTCAGTGATAATGAATGATAATATGAACGTGCTCATTTGCAAGGTGTCTGAACAACCAATATCCTGAATCAAATCGTCATCATTTTGGTATATATCATATTCCTGCGCCGGAAGGTTGCACAGCAGCAGGCGCTTGGGCAGAACATTATGGACCGCCACAAGGAGAATTTCGTTTGAAGGTGTTCATTTTAAGTCCTTTGATCGCAGCCACTCATCACTCGCATTGACTGCACTTGTCGTCACTTCACACTCCGAAAAAATCGCAATTAAAAACTGTGGTACTAGTTTGAGATGAGGTCAATTTTTTTGAAAACTGTAAACTGTTTCGTTGCAAACGAGGAAAGAATAAGAAACGATAAGACAGGTCGATAAGGTCGGCTTGAGCTTAGACTGAGCTCAAATTTTAACCCTGATCACACTCTCAGTGCTGTTTGGAATATGCTCAGCATTTTAGCTGCGCAGAGGGCTCAGACTTATGTTTGAGTCTATGTCTAAAGTTTAATGAATTTATGTCGACAGAATTTCTTCCACGTTTCCGTCGCGAATATAGCTGAATTTTGTTATGCCCTCATCGTGTGCAGCATGAACTTTCAGTCATTTTACTCGCATCAATGAGGATCCCTAACAGATCTTGCTACTCAACCTGACCAGTGATGGATCAATGTGGTGAATTTTGATGTCTGAACTATCAATTTTCAGTGATCAATTCAGAATATCGCAAAGAATAGCCTCTGATCGTTGGATTTTTTTAGGTTTTCTTCGAAGATACCGGATCAAGATCTGATAGGAAAGTTGACAGTAGCAAGAATAATGGAAACGCTATCAAAAAAACTTCACCGTCTGATGAATGAATTTGTATTTTTAGTTGAAAAGTATTCAGATGTACCAATCGATGCAATAAATGATTTTAACTCGTTTCGTTCATCGACCAACTCTCGCTTAAATGTATCTTTCGAGTGAAAAAACTTGGAATTATTACGAACTGCAAATGTGGTACTGCATTGCACACAAACCTCATTTGTGACGTTTCAGAGAGCGTTTGTCGACCGCTCTAGTGTTCATGACTTACAGTTAACATAAGTCTGTTCTGTTTTCTATCACTTACGACAAAGCTCAAAGATACTTTTTTTCGGATCTGAGACGAGATCAACATATGTTGAGGTTAGACCATAAGAGAGCTCGTTTAGTGTTTCGATGAAGAGCAAGGACATTCTGGTGAACGACATTCGTCGATAGCAATGTTTATTTTCATCACTATAAAACAGAGAGCATGAAGTCAGGTAATGAAAAACATCACTTGATTTGACTCGATCGAGTGTTGTGAAGTCAAGTCAAGAATGTTTTGCAATGGCTGATGTTCGGAGAGAAGCAATTTCTGAACAATTCTTTCTTGGCCGATTACGATGAATGCATAATCATTTCGAGTGAACGAATAAAGGATGCAATCAGTTCACATCAGTGTTTGCGACGGGCGTAATCGAGTGGTGCGAATGGATCGAAACTGTACGGATCGTCGTGCCATGATCGTAGTCCATTTCTGGACGAATAAACGCCCTCCAGTGGTGAATCGCTCAGTGACGTGAAATAATCTGGAATGTTATCAAAAATATCTAAACTTTAATCAGTCGGATCGATCGAGTTATTGCAAACTTGGTCCTCTTGAAAAGATATCATCTGCATTTCAATTTATCGTGACCACAAGAGGCAAGAGCCAAATTCACTCAGTCAAGTGTTTGTTATTCGGGTTGGATGAAATTTTCTGTGACGTCTGAAAAGGAGTGCGGGAGGCAGAGGGAGGCCACTTTTTCATACACAAGATTCAGTTCGAAGCAAGCAATAGAGCAGCCCTTATTTTTATGAAAAAATGTTTAACTTGATGCATTCGCCGAAATATTATTGTGCATTACATAATATTGCAGTGATACTGGAAATGTGCAAAATGATATGTTTTAGTATGAATTTTATGGGCACAATAATGAAAACCGAAACGTAACCAAATCAATTACTCTTCTTTGCTCCAAATTACTTCCTCCCAAATGCTACATTGAGATAATTGAAAAATGCTACTGATGGATGCATCAGAGAATACACAATTCGATCGCAGCTGTGATGAAGTGGTAGCAGAGAATGTTACTTTTTAGAAAAATACCTACCTTCAGAGCGATCCTGAGATTTGCAAAATGAGTTCTCAGTGAAGAACATGAATATAATCATAAACATCGTTAGACTCGATTTTTCGCCCAGCATGCTTTACGCTATAATTCTTGTCAGTTTCGATATTTAATCGCAAACGTTTCGTTGCTATACTATCAATAATTATCAGTTCAATGGACTACGTAAATGATCCGATACATGGAATATAGCAGTGGCATTGGAAATAACGTGAAGTGAATAAGTGAAACAATAATAAATACGCTAATTTAAAAACCACATAGCACTCATTCAAACAGTCACATTAATGACATAATAATGGTGATCATAAGCTATTTCAAAGCATGAATTCACTACATTGCTTCATAAGAGATGGACATTAGTCAACTAATTGAAAATTTGGAACTATTTATTAGAAAGTTAAGTTGTGAAAATAAGTCTCAACTGAAACCAATCATATATGTAAGCATTCCTTTTGAGCGGCATCAAAGTTTTCGCGGCAGTTGCAACTGATAGAATGTAACCAAATTAATTATTCATCTT